AGTAATGGGATGGTTTGAAAAATTGTTGGAAAATTAATATGGATATTAACAAGGTGGGGAGTAATGTAATGGGATGGTTTAAGAAACAGGTAGTTAGAAAAATAAAATTATTATCTTTGAGCAATCATTTATTATCTGGTGGGTATAGCTGTAATATTGGTCATATCTTAAAATAATAATTCTGATGCCCCAAACATATGGATTTTTTTAAAGCATTCATTTCATTCGAACATTCATCTCATTCACAAAAAAAGATTCCCATTCAAGATTACGCCCACAAATAAAACTTACCCTCACTCTAGTAAACATAATTTAGATTAATTCCTTGCTGATGCCTGGATAAAAAAAATATAACTGTCCCTCATTCATTAGAATAACTGAAAATTGGCTTAATTTCCTTTAATTACAGTAGTGTTTTAAAATGCATGGAGCCTTTTTTTTCTAGAGAAAATTTTTCCCTTAGAAATATAAAAGAAGGGTTAAATGATTATTATAGATAGGTGTCACTTTCAAAAAACATTGTCTGAGAGAAAGAACATAGGTGATCATTATTTTGCTTGACCCATGAAATAAATTTGTTTATCATATAATTATCCATAAACAGAATATTACATGGGCGCTTGGAGATACGAAATTTATCTTCACGTGTTGAAAATCTCTCACTCGTGAGGGATCTTTTCGACACTTGAAGATAAAATTTGTATCTCCGCGCGCCCATGTAATATCCTCTATATAATTTTTTTTTTATCCTCTATATAATTAGTGACTAACAGTAAAAGTAAAACAAAAGAAAACAATGAAATTAGTGTCTAGTATCTATTACATTGAGTTATTCTTTTGTTGGAAAAGTAAAATCACTCCAGGACGTTCCAAGACAAAATGGAATCATTGGCATACAACAAAACACTCATAATCGATGACTTTAGAATGGGTTTTGTGACTACAAGCAACGATGGATATCTCAACACTTTGGAAATGAAGTTTGCAGGGAAAAAAGCAAGAAAAGGCTTCGCACCCCACAACCATGACAGGAGGCACAACAATAGAGTCATTCTTCCCTGGTAAATTAAATTCTTTCTCATGTGAATCAGATGAGACCTGATTCAATTGTTCCTGCTTTCTGTCATGGCTGCCATCACATGATGGTGCAAAGCCTCTAATTCCTGCATTCTGGAGATAATTTGAATACAATTGTCAGACTGGTGGATAAATATAAGTTTAATTACTGTCCCTTTGGCTGAGACAATAGATATGATTATCAAGAAAAACGAGTTGATAAAACTTCAAAAATGAAAAAAATTATACTCTAACCAATGGTAACCAGAATAGCAAGGAATATGCGGTGGTCAGTGATCCAGACCTAAAGGGGGAGGGGTGGGGGAATAGTTCTGGAGCATTATGCACTTGTCATCGGCTTCCACAAGGGGGGACCCCAGGCTAGACTCGGGGAGATGTGTTGTTTTTTGTTTGAGTTTTATTTTGACTTTGATTTACTGGCATTGGGGTTGCTGTGTTAACCTACGCTGCTTGTAAACTGAAAACTAGTCATGCACAAAGTGGCAGACACTGAAGGTCTTCACCTATCAAATAGCCTGTACAAGGTCACATCAATTCAGTGTCAAGGAAATAATCAGTTTTGCTTGTAGTTTCTGTTAGCATACAAATGAATATCACTTGATTTCCATCTTATTGCTGCATGTTTAAATAAATTAACTTTTAAGTTAAGTTAACTGTAGCAGCAAGTGCAAGCTTGAGACAGATGCTGATTTAGTATTTCAGTAAGAGTTTGTAGAAAGTTAAGATATTATCAAATGCTCTATTTGCTATACATGTTACTAAGATCTTGTCTTTCAGTTTGTTTTATGGATTTAGTGTGTGCACTCTACTGGTTTTGTGTTACTTTTGTGATCTGTTATTTCAACTCCATAACAATTTTGTCCCAGGGGCTGGTGGAATATATGGCTATTTTCTAAGAAACTTGCCCCATATCTGGTGAAATACAGATAGCTTTCTTCTAGGCTCAAAGCAAAGTCCCCACATTTGCTCGGGGTCCCCGTCCCATCCCCCCCTCCCTCGTGGAAGCCGATGACAAGTGTATTACTATTTAGACCCGGGTTTAGATTGCACGCTTTTAGCTTTCGTACTCTATCTGGCCTGTACTCTATCTGGACACCTTTGACCTTACTTTACATTATTTTAGAAACTGTATCTAGAACTCCTTAATAATATATATTTAAATCTTCAACTGAAGCTCTACTCCCCCAACAACAAAAGTTGCTTGTGGAGCGAAGCGTTCACATCAAATTACGTAAACAAAAACAAAAACTTTTAAATCTTGCTAACATTATTTGCATATCAAATCATTCATATCGAATATCTAGTATTGAAATGGCACTTTAAGACTCACCTTTTGTTACAAAAATCTGTATTTTGCTAGAGTAAATTCAGACAAATTTGCCTGACATCTTCATCATATCACGTATGTAACAAGAATTCACAAGAATGTGTAACACGCGCGCGCTTTACAGTTCCAGGCCCTCGCGACTTCCAAATTTGGCGCGAATCTGTACAGGACCGGAAGTGCAATGCGCTGTTTTTCTTGTCTTTGGGTGCGCAGTTTTTTGTTCGGGTAACATGTACTTTTGTAACGGAAATTGAAATGATCAGGAGGACCTTTTCCGCCGATGAATTAAATTAAAACACTAACTTTGATCCTGACCTACCCGAGCACTTAAGCCTCGAAGAGAGGGCGTGCTTGTAATTTGGTAAATATAAATGTAAAAATGAATAAGTTAAATTTTCTCTTCAAGCTATCATTAGCCAAAATACCGACTTTTTTTGCTCGTATTATTTGTAAAACTTGTGGTGTTTAATTTTCCTTTCCACCCCTCCCCCACCGTTCTTTAAACTGGGGTCGTTCCTTCTTCTTTCTTAATTATCTTTTCTTTCCTTTTGTCTCTTCGTTCTTTTTATTTTTTCTGCTTTTTTCCCTTATACTATACTCATTTCACAAATAAGTTAATTTAATGTGTTTTTATTTCGTAAAGTGCCTTTACAACTCCTTGCTCCTTGGGCACATAGCTGTTACTTTCAAGCTAAATAGACCCCTTGCATGTGACGTCAAGGAGCTCAATTTGGAAGACAAAATAAAAGAATTATAATCTCCTGAGAATTGAAAACCTATTGTTATGTCCTCCAATTTGAGCTGCATTTAGACGTGCTGCAAGGCTGTTTCTTTTGCCTGCCAGGCATCATTTCTGATCTTATTTAGACACAATTTTTATTCATTGAACGACACACTGATTGTCAGAACAGTGCAGAGTTCATTAAGAATAATAAGATTAACTAAGGTAGCCTAGTATAGCTAGCGAAAGTAAGCATTCAAATAATCCTAATCTTATTGGATGGCCCCCAGTTACTTGACCCTCCTAATGAAGAGGAGCTGCTTATCCATACGAATGTGATTGAATTGTTATCTTAGATTTTTATACTGTTTTTAAATAAAGTACTTATTCTCTAAAACGTGTGCTAAAGTGCTAAAAACCGCATTTATTGCGCTAGAATCTGTTTAGAAAATGTCGAAAACACCTCGATCATTCATAATCGAAAAATCCAACGAAACAATTCGAAATAGAAAGAGATAGAATCTCGAAGAAATTTCAAATACATTTTTAAATTTCTTTCTAAGCTAATATATTTTCGTCATTTTCTGTGACACCAAACATATTGATTTTCTGAAAAATTAAAAATTAACTTGGAATGAACTGATAACAAGTATTTTACAGATAAAATCAGTCATAACTTTTATTCCATTAAAGAAATTTTTTTGACCGGGTTGCCCCCCAAAAAGCAATGCATTATGGGCTATGGAAAAGTAGAGAATTGTGCATGCTGGATCCAGCCCAGTATGTCTCTTTGGGAGTGGCTTTTAGTTCCAAACATAAACAGACTTATATACCTAGACTATAACGCAGATGTTTTTGGGGTCGTCACGTAGATTTAAGCGATAGGTTGCGTGACAACCCCTTAACGGGCCTTTACAGGTTGAATTTCGGCTGAATATGTTAAGAGCAAATACATTCACACATTCTCGCAATATATTGATAAATCTAATGCTAGAGTCATTCAAAAGTCTGCCTCAGCTTTTAAAGCTGAAAACAATTAGCGAGTGGATCCGTTGAACCGAGAGCTAAATACGTGCACAATCGATTTTTTAGCCGCTGAAAAATTTATTAAAAAGGTTTCGGGTGATAGTGTTACCACACACTATTTGCATATCTTATTAACTATCTGGTAACTAGACCACTTGTTATTCGTTGGGCGTAATGTTTTCTCATTTCCGTTTATGTGCATTTTTTTTGATCAAATTTTTTTCCCTTGAGAACTGAACTGCTTTCCCATAGATTCTCCCATCCTACAGTCTTATTCCAAAGATAATTTCGATGCAAAAACACTACGCCCAAATTAAGCTCTAATAAATAAATAGCTCTTGACCGGGAAAAGATCGCTGAGTGGGTGCCCGTCATTCGATATTCATTCACTGAAAGAACCTACAGAAAAAGAAAAAATATTGACACCTTATTTATGATTCTGACCTCCCTTAGTTACCGTTGCTATGTCCCACAAGCTCAACATATTAGCTAGAACAAAATATCTCAGAAAATTTAATTTAATTTTTTGTTTAAATTTGATCACGGAAAATTTATTATGAATTGTTTCGATGGTTTACTGTCCTGTGAAAATAAAATAAGATTGCCCCGTAATCCTTGTATTACTCCGTCTTTAAAGATACTGTTAAGTTGTTTGTCGGGCAAGATTCTAAATTCCACTAGGAAAACTGCTGCAACGGTGATTGGTTTGCTATTGTCCGAGTCAAAACCATAAATTTGGAACAATCAATCAATCAGATCGTCCGAAATTCATGGTTTGGTTTGTTTTCAAGCTAAGGGATCCTGCTCGCCACGTTGAACTCGAATCAGTGGCTCTACTACTATCTCCTTCATGAGATGAATGGTAAGAATGTTAATGAAAATGCCCACCTTAGTGATGCCAGTACACAAAGTACCATGGTGATGGCGGAGATTTGGACTGTAACACCTACAGAATAAACAACACATGCATTATTGGATGGGGGTTTTACGCATATACGCTGAACAGGACAGGACAGGACAGGACAGGACAGGACAGGACAGGACAGGACAGGACAGGACAAGACAGAATGATTAACTTACCACTGTTACAATCATCTATGCTACACCCACTTTTCTCACATGCAATCTTGTAAGCAAGCTTGATACCCCAGCACGGGGATGTTGTGGGCACGCAAGTACGGTTTTGGTAAACGGTACTTGGCATGGAATCGCAACAACTGTCTGCGCACAACGAACGATCCGTAGTCCAATTGCCCAAACGCACACCTAGGAGAAATTGGAGTAAGTGAGATTATTTCTAGCCCCCTCCTCTACAGGCAATAGAATTTAACGCAGGGATCCCAACAGAGAATATATGGGGTAGCCTGCGGAGGAGGCTAGATTAATAGACCCTTTTCGAGTTCCAAATTACCGCGGTGTTTCTTGATTACAGACTCATGTACTCTACGAGGCTTAGCCTCGATTTTGTGTAGAATATTCACGTGTTCCAGTCAAGGTCTGTCAAGTTTCAAAGTGTTCGTTTTGTTGAAGTTGTACATTCTTTACTTTACCGTTGGTATTTGCGAGTAATTAGACACTGATTCGAGGCTAAAATGAGTCTGTAATCAAGAAACACAGCGGAAATTCGGAACTCGAAACTGGACTATTCTGTGTCTGACAGAATTGACGGAAAGACCCTCTCTGAGTAAAGGACTCACACAACATACCTTCTACTCTTTCTGCTGTTTTAAGGCTAGATGGATCGACAGTCAGGTTGCCGATACTTCCACTATTCACTGCAATCTTAATAGCATCTTCGAAATTAGACATTTCAGGAAAAGAATTAGCAACTGATGCCTCGAATACCACATCAAAGTCTGCAATGACACTACCGATCTTAAACCTGATATTTTCTATTCCTCTGTAGTTCTTGTATTTACTGAACTTTTCGCGTCCCTGAGGGAAAAGAAAGGAAACAAACTGAATATTAGTATATCTGAGTACGCCGTTTAGTGTTATAACACATTTTCTATCAGTGGGCCGTTCAGAGGCACACAGGCTACTATTTCGTAATTTGTAGAACGTTCTTGTACTGGCCGCGGCGTGCACTCCTGATTTCAGACTTGGGGCACATGGACTTAAAGGGGCACTTGGATGAAAATTGGAAATGACTTTAAACTTGGGTAAACCTATCTATATGGCCCCAATAGTAGCCAAGCAACATATTTCTTGACAGTCAAAAGTGGGGTATGAAAATTATCAGTTTTATTCAGCAACTACATTGTGAGTAAATGACGTCATCCACTCAACCCTATTGTTCTTTTTGCTTAAACCAAAATTTCTCAACTGCAACTGGCTCACAGGCTAAAATTTTTACTAATCTGGTTTACATTGTCATAATTGAGTAATATTATCCTCAAATACTTCAGTTATTTGGACTTTCAAAAATTGGGGTGTTTTCATCCAAATGCCCCTTTAAGTCTTTATTTACATATTACTCACGTACCCAATACTCAATGTTTGCCTTAGCATCGATAAACTCGGCGCTAGTAGTGTTCGTCAGCTTGTCATTCCATTCCAATGATTTAATAGTAACAGCAACATTTACTTTCGTTTCTTGGAAAAGAATAAAACAAAAACCAAAAACATTACATTTTGGCATCAACAAAATTTCTGTCTTTGGAATCAATTCATGGTTCTGTTCCCCCTAATTACTGTTGCTATGTCCCACAAGTTCGACAAATTAGAAGAATCTCTCTGAATTTGAGACTCTGTTCAAGGAAAATTTATTATAAATTGTTTCTATCCATCGTTTACTCTCCTTTGAAAATAAAATAAAACTGCCTCGTAATCCTTGTACTCCTCGTAATCCTCTTTACTAGTAAAACAGATACTGTGTAGAAGTTTGTGGCACAAGATTTGAATTTCATTGGGAAACTCCTGTAACGATGATTGGTTCTCTATTGTCTAAAGGGGGAACCATGAATAGCCAGAATGTAATCGATCGGCCAAACCATAGTTAACTATGTCCATGACTGGAGTAGTGATTGATTTTGATTTCCCAACATCTGGAATTCCGATCTCATGGAATTCGGAAACTTGCTCTTGCGAAGTTCAAATAAAGACACGATTGGGTGCATTTAAATTTCGAGGTGAAGTTTTACGATCTCTTCCCTAAATTCAGTCAATTCACTACGTATTCGTTTCCATCTTTCAGGCTATTAACTAGAAAGGCGAGTTAATAAACACGAGATTTTTCATTCACCTGCACAAGGCTTGTTGGAGCAGCCCCCTCCTTTCTCTGTTGAATCTCCTGCGCAATTAAGTTCTCCTCCAGAGGGTGCTGGGTTGGTACAGGTTCGAGTTCGCGTCCTAGTACCATTTCCACAGCCAACAGAGCATTTCCATTCACCCCACTGGGCCCAGGTTCCATGCACGACTAAAATTTAAAAATTGAATTTTTAGCTATTTCGTGCAACCCTCATTAAGTAAAGGCTTCTAAAAAGTGGTCTCAAAATATTGTCAGGGACAACTGATTTGGGAAAATTGAGGAAAATCTTAAGTTTCACTTGGATTTAATCAATTCTATACAAGAGCTCGTTCTTCTACGAGGACTTCTCGATTTAAAATTTTTGTTGTAATCTACGATCGAAATTGATAATTCTGACTAGTTAATCTGGAGAAAGTTTTATAGCAAAGCAAAAGTTTCGTAAATTATCTAATGACTTCATACGATTCACACCAGCCTTGTAACTTTATTTTTAGAGAGAGGATAATATGGCTACACACGTGTTGTATTATTCTTAGAGAAATAGGATCAAGGGTACACCGTTAGGGTCCAGTTGTATGAAGGGTGCATAGCGCTATCCGACAAACAAATCTTATCCAATGGATAAATTTATTTGATAACAGCATAGCGCTATCTACCCTTCGTACAACTGGTCCCAGGTGGCTTTGAAAGCAATACTTGCTGATTGAACTCTCGACAAGTTAGTTTAAAACGCGGTCTTTAGTTATTTCAGGTTCAAATATTTCCTTTCATTACAACACTTATACATTATTATAATCACAGTTAAAGGTTGAAATGTGAACATACCTGATGATCCTGGGCTGCTTGATGTAGACGTTGATCTTATATCTGCAGATGTTGCACGTGTCGTTTGACTTGTTTGTGCTGTTCCTGAGGGCTTTGTTTGGGAAGATTTAGGTGGTATCGGTGTTGAGGATTTACTAGGTGGTGGTAAAGATCTACTTGGTGGTGGTGATGATGATTTAGGTGGCGGTGGTGGTGGTAATGATGAAGGTGGTGGGGAAGATCTACTTGGTGATGGTGATAGTGATTTAGGTGGTGGTGGTGGTGGTAGTTGTGATGATGAAGGTGGTGGGGAAGATCTATTTGGTGGTGGTGATGATGATTTAGGTGGTGGTGGTAATGATGATTTAGGTGGTGGTGGTAATGATGAAGGTGGTGGGGAAGATCTACTTGGTGATGGTGATGGTGATCGTGATGATTTAGGTGGTGGTGGTGGTGATGATGAGGGAGGTGGGGAAGATCTAGTTGGTGATGGTGATTTAGGGGGTGGTGGTGTTGATGATAATGAAGGTGGTGGTGAAGGGCTACTTGGAGGTGGTGATGATGATGAAGGTGGTGGTGGTGGTTGTGGTGCCAAAGGATTTGATGAGGACGTTGGGAGGAAGGCATCGGCAACATTGCCATAAACTAAAACGGTCATTGCAATGACGACAGAAAGGACGGATGGTGCCTTAAAAGTTGTCGCTGTCATCTAAGAGTAAGAAAGATTCCGCATTATCTCATTAAACGTCTTAAATTCGTGTCCTGTCAATAAGCCTTTTCATAGTTTAAGAATCGATTCCACTGCGCATGCGATTTTATCCCGAATTTCTCACCTTCTTTTGTCTAAACCTTTTTTTTTCTTAATTAAGCAAAAGAAGGTGAGAAATTCGGGATAAAATCGCATACGCAGTGGAAACGATTCTTAAACTAAGAAAAGGCTTATAGTGGCTGACTGCATGTGAAACTTCAAAAAGGTCCACACACTTTCCATTTTTAAAATAAAAAATAAATACTGACAGTAAAAAAAAATCAGCTTTCCTATCTTTAAGAACAGGCTGAGTTGACCTTCCCAACGAACTCAAAATCAATCAATTGTAATTGAGGATTCAACATTGTATTTTGAGTAGCATTTCTCATGAGAACACATGAAATTACAAATTCTTCATCCTTTAACTGAATTGATCGTAAATGGTAGTCGAACTCAAGGCGGAATTCCATTTCAATCGCTTGACAAGAACCTCTACATTGTACTGAGTTCCTGTTCGGAAAATGCTAAACAAAATATTTGACCCATAATTCCTTTCGGGGAACACAGTCAACTCAACTTGGAAAAAATATCAGCTCTCCGGTGCAACAGTGTCATAGTTAGTTGTCTACTAATTATGGATATGTCAGTCAAAGAAAAATTGCGGAAATATGGTACAGGCTTCGGCTTTGGGTTATGAATGAATAAGAGAGGTTAAATATCTGGGATTTGCCCAGGGGTAGCCTTGCCGGATATTGTGTTGATTCTTAATATCCAAAGAAAAATGGCAGAAAATATGGTAAAGGCTTTGTAATGATTTGAAGTACGTTTATATAGAAAGGGTTTTGAATGAATAAGATGGCAATTATCTGTTAACCAGGGATAGCCTTAGTTTTCTGTTGAATATTTGGAATGTGTTCCAATGAAGGTCGCCAGTGGATTTCCGTCATCGAAGAACTCGAACACCATGTGAGGTCAAAAAAAAAAAAAAAAATGGCGGACATGTGGTACAGGCTTTGTAATGATTCCAAGTACGTTTATAAAGAAAGGGTTATGAACGAATAAGATGGCAAATATCTGTTGATCAGGGATAGCCTTAGTTTTCTTTGAATATTTCAAATGCGTTCCAAGGTCGCCAGTGGAATTCCGTGATCAAAGAACTCGATCACCCAGCGCAGTATTTTCAAGAATCCGGAAAATATCTATTGTCATCTATTAATTTTTAAAAAATTATTACTTCATCTCTATTTTGAACTGAAATGTCATGAATCTTTAATGGAACAATCCGTTGCATGCAGATCATTCATTTTTAATGATTCCAAAAGCTAATGTCTCTATTTCGTCAAATAAGTATTGCGGAAAAAAATATTGTCGCAGACGTTATATTCAACCAAAATATCTAGCCATCTTGAAGGAATAAACTTGGAGATACGATTACACTATTATATTGACAGGATATATTCTAAATTAGCACTGTAACGTCTAAAAACTCTCCGCAAAGAAAGGGCAGGTGCAAAGCTGCTTAGATTGCAGTATTCCCAAACAATAATCAGGTCAAAAATTGTTTTGCATTGGCAATAAAAGGTTGTCCATATTTTTT